TGGAAGGCAGCAGGAACACAGGAGCCATCCAGGAATAACCCTGGGAGTGGCCCATCGCCGGTCGGATCACGGAGACCTGCACGCCAGAGCAAAGATGGTCACGGCGATAAGGCGTCTGCAGGCACCGGCTTCCTCCCAGGCGGCCCCTATCTGATGGAAACTGCCTGTTTCCCCTGCGCCGGCTCCGCAAACCTCCCGGCCCCGGCGTGGGCAAGGTCACGCGTGAAGGTCCCTCATGTTTTATCCTGGTTTTGTACTTTTGTTTGTTTAAACTTCCGAGATCACAGGCGATAGCGGGGGAGAGGCAGCCGGCAAGACCTCAAAGCTTCGCAGCCGTGCTCCGCTGCCCCGGCACGGCGAGGGTCCGGGTGCCAGTTGGGTTCATGATACACCCGGGGGTGGTGATGCAATGGGGAACCAAGAGGTAAATCAGGCCCCACAAGTTCGTTAGGAAAGAGGCTGCGATGCCAGCCCGCGCGCTGCCGGCTGCGTACTGCCTCTGCCTGCCCGCGGGAGCGGGTCACCGTGCCGGGGGGTACAGCCGGGAGAAAGGCGGGGATGGGGCCTGGAAAGGTGCTGGAGGGAGAGAAGGGGGACGGGAGGAGCGCGAAGCTGCTGAGAGTGGGGTGGCTGAAAGAAAATAACCCTGAAGCGGCAAAAGGGGAAGCAATGCTTCCGCTGCCCACAGTCCCGGCAGCCCCACGTGTCCTGGGGGAGCGGGAAGTGCCCAGCCTCCCGCCATGGGAACGGTCCCACCGCCCGCGTCCCAGCACCTGCTGCTGCAGCGCCTCGAGGGCCGCGGCGGGGACGTGGTGGCAGGAGGCACCGAGCAAACCCCCTTGGCCCACCCCAGCCCCGCTCCGTGCCCGCAGCCGGGGCAGAGCATCGCTGGGGGGGGCGACCATTCAGCAGCACCCCCAATGCTGCGTTGCACCCGGGGAGAAAACCTCCCCTGCCCTCCAGCGCAGCACCCCGAAAGTGGTGTTGCCGGCACCGAATAACCAGGAGCCCCTTGGCTCCGCCGTGATGCTCCCATCCCCGTGAGGGCTGGATGCTGGAGCGGGAGGGATGGCCAAGCACGTCAAGGTCATTCCCACAGCATCTCTCCAGACCGTTCCCACCCCTGGCACCATCAAAGCAACCGGCCGCGCTTCTGCCAAAGGCCTTTGGATGCTCAGGGAAGGGGATGGGTGTCCCCCCGCCAGCTGCAGCCCAAGGGCTCCGGTTTGCCTTGAAAGCCGGGAAACTGGGGAGGGCAAGCGCCCGGCAAAGGACAGGGGCAGGAGGAATGGGCCGAGGGAGAGCAACCAGGATGGAGCTGGGGCCCGGTGTGCGGGAGGAAGGGAGGCTGGCCGTGGATGTGTGCTCAGCAATAGGAAATGCTTTATTAGCTGGGAGTGGTGGAGAGAAGCCAGGCAGGAAGAGGCAGTAATAAGAAACATTTTTTTGACTTCTCCCACATCCAGACCACAGAGCGCTTTGCCAAGCGGCTGCGTTCGGACAACGGGGCCGCTGAGCCGAACGCCCGGGGCCGGGCCGGGGACGGAGACGTTCCCCCACCAGAACGGGTGACGCTGCGGCTGCGGGAGCCCCCACGGTGCTGGGACGGGCGGCAGGAGGGGAGCAGACCCATGAAGGTCCTCCAAGCCGGGGCGCACGGCACAGAGCAGAGCTGCCCCGGCTGAGCCGCACGCGCCGCCTCTAAGCTCGGGACCGCGGCCGGGAGAGTCTCACCAGGACCGGGCCGTGCCGTGGGCGCCCGTGGGACGCCGATGCAGTAGGTGAGTGGGGAAGCGCCGCACACTTGTGGGGTCCGGGGTTGCACCGAGCTCAGTGCTTCCCTCCTGATTTACCCCAGTGCAACCGAAATCAGGATTTGGCCCTGTTTTCTTTGCGTTCGGTGGGACGCCGGGGTTGATGTCAGTGTAGCAGAGGGTGGAATTGGGGCTCTGGCAGAGCTGGGAGCATAAATCCGGATTTACACCGGCGCAGTAGTAGCAGGCTCAGTCCCCAGGTCCTTGCTAAAGAGCTGAAATAATACGCGGCTGCTACCGACAGCCCGGAGCTGACGTGGGAAATGGGGAGTTTGGGTGTATTTTGAAAAGGCATGGGGAAAAATGAGGGAAAGTTGACAGCTCCGCTAGCTGGGGGCTGGAGCGAGGGTGGCGGGGCACCAACGGCAGCGACGCCACAGGACGTGCCGCCTCGATGCGCCCCTTCTGCAAAGCCGAACCCCGGGTCCGTCTGAGGAGGGGTGGGCGAGGAAGAGCCAAACGGCCGCTACGGACGCTCCGCTTTCAGAGCAAAGTGCCGAAAGCGAAGCTGGTATGAGCCGTGCCGTGGGAGCTCTGCCCTGCCGCCGGCGTTCGAACCCCGCCGCAAGGTCGGGCAGGAACGCTCCCCTCCTCCCCGCTCTGCACGAGGAGCCGCGTGCGACGCCGGCCCCACGAAGAGAGGAACGTGAGCCGGGTTTGCTGCTCTCTTTGCATCTCTCGTTTATGGCACAGCGATGCCCGTCGGTGCGAGAGGGGCCGGGGCGGCGCAGCCCAGCCGTGGGGGTCCCTGACCTGAGAGCTGCATCCATCCCTCCCGCACCGGCTGCACCGGAGGGTCCAGAGGATGCAAAGAGCTTTGCTGCGTGCATGACCAACCTGCAGCTGTGGGGAGGAGGGAGCAAAACCTCTGTTGCCTGAAACCAGGCTGAAGCCTTTGGAGTCTGCGGCAAAGCCCTTGCCACCCCCGATGTGGTTGTCCATCCAGCCCTTCACGCCTGTAGCCAGCGCCGTCGGCAGCCGGCACACGCCCGGCTTGCCCCGCTTCCCCCCCCCCCCGCCCGCCGGCGCCACCTGCGGCAAACCCCCCCGGCAGCAGCAGAAACCACAGAGGAGGGCAGAAGCGCCGGGATTGCAAAGCTCCGCCGAGCCGCCCCGGTAAGAGCAAGGGATCCTGCAGCCATCCCGCGTGTCCCGGCGCATCGCACCCAGCCACCCCCTTCCCCAGGCGCCCACCGCCTCCTGCCCCGTCTCCCCCCCACAGCTCCTTTGCTTTTCTCTCCATGGGGTCGTGGGGAAATTCCCCTTCCCCAGGGCTGCTCCGGACGCCCCCGGCCGGCCAGCGCCACGGCACGGCTGCCTATCACTCCCAGCCGCTTCGGCCAGCGCTTGCACCCCCTCCGAGAGGCTTTAATTGGGGTTTTTCCTTCTCCTCTTGCTGCTGCAAATCCTGAAGGATGGAAGGCCGTAACACAGCTGAGGGAAGATGCTCCGGAGGGCGCGTGAGCTGCAGCTCCGGTGTGAGAGAAGGGAGGGAGGTTGGGGACAGGGATGGGGACACGAGGGCTGGTTTGAGCCGTTACAGAAGCACCTGGGATATTTCTCCCGCGGGACGCCAGGGACGGCTCTGGGTTAAGGTTTGCTCTTGGTTAGTACCGAAAAGCCATGCGACGTTGGTGCCCGTACAGCAAAGGCTTGGGTGAGGCCCTGACCGCTTTGCGTTTCACGGCAAAGGTCCCGCGGCCGTCTAACGGCTCGGGATTTTATGGAAGTGCCCCCAAGAAGGGAGTGCACCACCAAGGGGTCTTGGCAGCCCATTAAAAGGATGCGTTTTGTAGCTCTCGGGATTGCAAGGAAAGGCGCTGTGCCTGGGAGCATCCTGGAGGCTCGGGGGCAGCAGCCCAGCTCCAGGGGAGTTTATTTTTTAAAACAAAGCTGATCCTGGGCCAGCCAAGGGACCGGTCGCTGCGTCAGCCGGAGACCAGCCCGGGCATCGCCGCTGGCACGGGGCACCCAGGACCAGACCCCGCTCCTGCCCGCCAGCCACGGGACCCGGGCGCCGCTTCCTCCCCACAAGCAACAGCCACGCGAGCTATTTTGGGGAGGAAAAGCCCATTTTGTGCCGCGGCTGGAGCCTGCCTGGGTCAGCCACGTACGTGCGTGCTCTCGAGGGACGGGCTTGCGTGACTTCGCTTCCCCATCAAGGCCAGAATCTAAACAATCTTGATTCCTGTCCCGGCAGCCCTGGGCAGGGCTCCTTCAATTGCAGGAAACGGAGACTTTGGCGTGTTTGTGTCGGGAACCGCGAAGAATGAGCCGAGGAGGGGCTGGGGAGCCCCGGCTGCTGCCGGCCGAGCTCTCGGCCATGTGAAAGGGGCAGCGATGCCGGCGGGGCGAGGGGCAGGGGGGCAGCGCCAGCTCCGCCGTGTTTGGCTTGGCAGAAATCTCTCTTCTACAAGGCAAAAAAAAGAAGAGAAAAAATAGGAAAAATTCCCCCAAAGGCGCAGCTGGGGAAGTTTTGGCTGCCCGCAGCGCCTCTGCTTGTGTCATCGATAAGCTCCGTGCAAAAGCCCCCCGGGGACCGAGCCCCGGACCACGGCCAGCTGCACCCGGTGGCTCCAGCGCCAGTGAGGGGGTGCACTGCGGCAGGAGGGCTTCGAGCTCCGTCCTGTGGCATAGGTCTTGCCAAACCTGGGGTCTCCGGTGTTGCAGTGGCATCACCGCGCTCGCCATGGCTGCCGAGCCCACGGGGTAGGCCACCAGCTGCGTTTTTGCAACACAGGAGCCGTGGGAATGGTGAGAAATGCCGGAATACGGATTGCTGGGATAAAGTAAGGATGTTGGGGCAGCGTGGACATGGCGAGGTCCCTGTTCCGAAGTGCTCCTGAGCACCGTGGGGCTGCACACGGTGTCCCACACCGCGGTCGGGAGGTCCCTGGAGCTTGGGAGGTCCCAGGGATCTGCTCTCAGGAAGGGCTGAACCCGGGACGTCCGGAGCCAAACTCCACTTGGAAGCAGCACATCCTACCTCGCACCGCTCCACCCGCCCTCTCCCTCCCCGCCGGCCTCCATCGCTCACCACGGCCCCCCAGTTCCTTCCCAAAGCCTCCATGGCCGCCCCCAGCGTGGCAATGAGCCCCTCGGGGGGCCGGGGGCCGCGGGGGGCTGCAGGGGGCTGCAGGGGGCCGTGGGGGGCTGCCTCTCACCCCCTCTGCTCTCCCCAGGAAGATGTCGTGCGGAGCCTGCGGCCGGGCAGTGCTGGCGCTGCTGACCCTCTCCCTTGGCTTCGCAGCCGGTGAGTACCAAAACAACGCGGTGAAGGCACCGGACGCTCTCCACCACGCGCAGGGGGTTAAAATAAGCCCTTGGCTCCTTGGGAACGTCATCGCTTGCTCTGCCTAAAATAAACCAGCGCAGAGGGCAGCTCGTTCAAGCTCGCCTCGAGTGAGCACCGAGGGAGGCAGGGCTCCTCGGGGACCCTCGCCATCCCCAGCGAGGGGCTTCTCCCCTCTGGGACAGTGACCTGCCTCCCAGAGAGGATCCCAGCTTAATTAATTACGGTTCATCAGGTGCTTTGATGTCACTGGAGGGGAGATGGGGAGAAGGCTTGCATGCACGTGCTTTAAAACGTGGCTTTTCCCAGGGGTGACGGTGCTGATGGTGGGGAGCAGGGATGAGCTGCTCGTGATCCCAGGGGAGCACCAGGGTGACCTGGGGACAGATCCGGGCTGGGTGCTTGTGCAGGGAGGACCGAAACAGCGTGGCTGTGCTGGGGACGAGCAGCAGAGCTCATCAGGGGGATGAGTCCCCACCGGGTCCCCATCCTGCCCACGGGGCCACCAGCCCCCAGGGCTTACCGACCCGGCCTCGCCACCACCCCATGGCTCTGGCACCTGGCAGCCTTTGGGGCAGGGGGGTGACGGGCGCAGGAGCGGGGCTGGCACAGCCGTCCGTCCCCTCGCCGCCATCCGTCCGTCCCCTCGCTGCCGTCCGTCTGGCTGCCCTCGCGCTGAACTCGCTGATTCCAGGAGGGATATTTTCTGCACAAAAGGGCAGAGCTAAATCGGGAGGTTGGGAGCGCGGCCGCCCCCCGTGCCGCGCCAGCACCACGGCGCAGGGATGTGCCTTTTGGGGCGGCCAGGGAAAGCTCCAGGAAAGACCCCGGGTTTGGCACCCGGCTCCCGAAACACAGCATCCCCGCGGCACCCGCTGGGGCGGCACCGGCTGAGTTTGAGGCTTTTGGTCCCATCCTGGTTCCTAGAACCCAGCTCCCGCAGGCGGCCCCAGAGTGGGGTGCTCCCACATCCCCCGGGGCCCCGCGGGAAGGATGTGACCCTGTGTGCTGTGAGCCAGTGCATCCCAGTTAATCCCAGCCGGTGGGGCTGGATGCACGGCCCCTCCGCTCTCTTCCCGGGGGCACGGCGACAGGCGACCCCCAGCTCCGGGGCTGGCGCTTGGGTCCCAGCTGGGAGCGAGCGTTTTTCCAAGAGGTCTCAGGATGGGCTTCCCTGTGCTGAGCACCCCCAGCCACCTTCCCCAGCCCGGACCATGGTGTTCCCAGGCTGCCCGCTCTCAAAATTTGGTTCAAGAGTCTTTAGGACAGATGTCACTGTCCCCAAAGCCACCAGCGTGCCCCGGGCTGGGCAGCAGGGTGGCCCCACGGCACAACGCGTCCCCTCCTCGTGCCCGCAGACGAGCTGCTGTGTGCCTGCGATGTGCCGCACTGCAGCCTGCCCACCTGCATGGGCAAGGTGTGCTTCGTCAGCAAGAGGAAGGAGGAGGGGACCATCACCCAGCACAAGGGCTGCTTCTCCCAGAACATCCTGGAGAACTGCCGCATGCCCGTGACGGAGCAGTACGGCATGAGATGCTGCGACTCCAGCATGTGCAACGCCGACCTGGAGATCTTCCTGCAAGGTACGGGGGCACGGTTCCCTTCGAGGACCCAGAGGGGAGAGGGGCAGAGCTGTCCACATGGCTGGAGATGTGACTGGGTCTCCAGACCGTCTCCCTCCTCACTCAGCACCTCCAGGGTCACCCTTTCCCAGGTGGGACAGGGCCAGCGAGATGTCCTCGGTTGTCCCTTCTTGGGCTGTGCCTGCAGAGCTGCCATCCACGGGGCTGACCCAATGCAGAGCCAGCCTCCCCAGGTCCCAGCCCAAACACCACGACCTCCACCCTCCCAGGCCCAAACCCAAGCACCACCTTCATGCTCCCATCCATCGTTTCCCCCCCCAGAAGAGGACCTGGGAAAGGCGTCTTCCCTGCCCAACCTCCTCCTGATGATCTTCATCCCACTGCTCGCCCTCCTCATCCTCACGGCGCTCACAGTGCTCTTCTGCTGGAAGGTGGCCCAGCACCGCCACAGGGAAAGTGACTTGGGAGACATGGACCTCATGCTGAAAGCATCCATGGTGGGAGACAGCACTTTAGAGGTGGGTGAGCTCTGGGGGGGACCCCGAATGCCCCCAAGGTGTGGGAGGGAGGGACGTGCCGGGCGTGGGGCGGCCGCCGGGCTGACCCCATTGCCACGCTGGCTGTGCAGGACTTGCTGAATGACGACTGCACCACGGGCAGCGGGTCAGGGCTGCCCTTCCTCGTCCAGCGAACGGTGGCTCGGCAGATCACCCTCGTGGAGTGTGTGGGTAAGGAGAGTGACTGAGTGCAGGGGGAGGCTGCCCCGGCCCCCCAGCCGGTGCTTGGGCACGTGCCAGACCCCTTTCCCCCAGCAGCCAGCAATGGCACTGTGACCCCAGACCTGGGAGGGGAGTTTGGACCCAACCGTCTCAGCCAAAACCCCATAGAGCCCCTAAGTTCTCCCCCTGTCCTGCTGGTGGGGGGCAGAGAGCAGCTGGGGGGGTGGGTGGGTGGCAGCTGGCCAAGGTCAATGGACCCTGCACCACCCCCTTGCTGTTCCACACCGGGAGCTGGGTGTGGGGAGGGGGTCGGGGGCCGGAGGGGCTGCGTGACATGGTGCCGTGGCCATGGCAGGCAAAGGGCGCTACGGCGAGGTGTGGCGAGGCGTGTGGCACGGGGAGAGCGTGGCCGTGAAGATCTTCTCCTCCCGGGATGAGCAGTCGTGGTTCCGTGAGACGGAGATCTACAACACTGTCCTCCTCCGGCACGACAACATCCTGGGTGAGTGGGGAGCCAGGGGGCCAGGGGGCGGCTGCGCGGCAGCTCCACGGTCCCAGCTCTTCTCCCCGTCCAGGCTTCATCGCCTCCGACATGACATCAAGGAACTCCAGCACCCAGCTCTGGCTGATCACCCACTACCATGAGAACGGCTCGCTCTACGACTACCTGCAGCGGACGGCCCTGGACGTGGAGACCTGCCTGGGGTTGGCCTCCTCCATCATCTGCGGCCTCGTCCACCTCCATGTGGAGATCTTCGGCACCCAGGGCAAGCCCGCCATTGCCCACCGCGACCTGAAGAGCAGGAACATCTTGGTGAAAAGCAACCGGCAGTGCTGCATCGCGGACCTGGGTGAGACGGGGGGCGGGATGCAGCACCCAGGGATGCGGTGCTGTGGGGATGCAGCACCTGGGGATGCGGTGCCCCGGGGATGCAGCACCCGGGGATGCGGTGCCCCAAGGATGCAGCACCCGGGGATGTGGTGCCCCAGGGATGCAGCACGCAGGGATGCGGTGCCCAGGGATGCGGTGCCCCGGGGATGCAGCACCCGGGGATGCAGTGCCCCAAGGATGCAGTATCCTGGGGCTGCAGCACCGGCGTGGCGCTGACCGGGGCCGGCATCCCTCCAGGGCTGGCCGTCATGCACTCCCAGGGCAGCGACTACCTGGACATCGGCAACAACCCCCGGGTGGGCACCAAGCGCTACATGGCCCCGGAGGTGCTCAGCGAGCAGATCCGCACCGACTGCTTCGAGTCCTACAAGAAGACGGACATCTGGGCGTACGGGCTGGTGCTCTGGGAGATCGCCCGGCGGACGGTGGTGAACGGTGAGCGGCTCCCAGCCGGCTGCCGCGCTCCTGGCTCGCGGCAAGGCTCTGCGCTCGCTCCCTCCTTCTTTTTATGTTTTTTTTTTTCTTTCCCTTCACCCAGAAGATTAGCTGTAAATTATAAACACTGTAATCTAGTGTCAGCACCCGGCTCCCTGATTAAAGGGCCCATTAGACTCAATCAGTGCTTTGTTTGTTCAGCGCTGATTAGAAAACAAGCAGCGTGGAGCGCTGCCTGGAAGCCGGCCACGGCCGGGACCTCCGGCCGGCGGGGCTTGGCTCACAGGGACAGGGACGGGGACAGGGACAGGGTCCCCCACATTGCAGAGAAGCCTCCTCGGGGCTGCCTGGCCAGCGCCGCTCACTGCCGGCAAAGTCCATTAGAAGCATTAATTAAATGGTGGGCGCTGGCGGGTGAGGCAGGAGGTCCCCCCGAGGCGCAGTCTGGCCGGGATAATCTCATTTACCGCCTCGGGGCTCCTTCAGATTAAACATTTACTCTGAATTACCAAAGCCATGTGCAGGCGATGACCTTCAGCCAGCTGGTTTTAACCCTTCCAGGCACCCTCGCCCCCCAGACCGGGCTGAGCAGCCCCTGTGCGGCCCCAGGGCATCGGGGACGGGGGCTCCAGGGGACCCTGAGGTTCAGGGGCCACCCCCTGGGGTGCAGGGAGCTGGTGGGTGCTCAGGGCGGGCCAGGGGGGTTCAACCTCGCGGACACACAGACATATGGAGGCACTAAGCAGAGATTAGCTGGCCAGCTGGCGGGCTAGCCATGGGGCTGCCGGATGGAGGTATGGGGTCGGGGCCGGTGCTAGAGCCGGTGCTGGAGCCATGGTTGATGCTAGAGCTGATGCTGGAGCTGTTGGTCATGGTAGGGCTGGTGCTGGACTATTGCCAGTGCTGGAGGTGGTGCTGGAGCCACCAGCGGTGCTAGAGCCGGTGCTGGAGCCGGCCCCAGCCACCCCGTGCCATCCCGGTGAGGTCCCGCGGTGCAGCTGGGGCTGGAGCCATGCACCCCGTGGGCAGCATCACCACCGGTGCGGTGCAGCAAATCACACCGGCAATTCCGGTGGTCCCACGTGCCCCCCAAGGCAGGGCGCGGGTCGGTCATGCCGGCCGCCCCGGGCACCCCGTGACGTGCAGGGTGGGGGGTGAACCCTGTGCCCCCCCGCCGCCCTCACGCCGCCCCCACTCCCGCAGGCATCGTGGAGGAGTACCAGCCGCCCTTCTTCGACGCCGTCCCCAGCGACCCCAGCTTCGAGGACATGAAGAAGGTGGTATGCATCGACCAGCAGACCCCCGTGGTCCCCAACCGCCTCTTCTCCGACTCGGTGAGTCCCGGGGGGCCGCCCCCCTCCCACCCCACTCCCAACCTTTGCTCCCCATGAAACCCTTCGATTTCCCCCTCTTTTTGTGCCTCCCCCAGGTTTTGTCGGTGCTGGCAAAGATCATGAAGGAGTGCTGGTACCAGAGCCCCTCGGCCCGCCTCACTGCCCTGCGGATTAAAAAGACGCTGAAGAAGCTGAACAGTTCCCTGGAAAAGCCCAAGCCGGAGCAGTGAGGGCCGGGCACACGCCGGAGCCGCTCGCGGGCTGCACCAGGGACGGCGGCGGAGCCAACGCCAGGATGGCTCCCAGTCACAGAGGGGGTTTTGCTCGCAGCCCCCGCCTTTCCCACCCCTCCTTGGAGCCTTTTTAATTTGCAAGGAGGGAAAAAAATAGGAAAAAAAAAAAAAAAGGCAAGGGAGGAATCTTCCAGCCCGGTTATAAAAATACCCCCCGGATCTGTCATCCGACGCCAGCCCGTCTCGCCTGCCCAGCGGGGATGGCAGCGGGCGCCTGGGGTTGGCGGCCCACCCCAAGCCCCCCGACTGGCCACCATGGCCAAGGGGCAAGCAGGCACTGGAGCCAGCACCGGCCCCCGCCGCAG